GAGCTTTTTCCGCGGAAGATTCCTTTGAGGTCAAGTGCCACAGCAATTCTGAGTGGAAGGGGAATGCATGGCGCATTTCGAAAAGGATTAGTCAGAGCGGAATGCTTCACTTTTTTATAGATTCCTACCAGATAGGAGGTTCTACACAATACATGTACAACAAGACGTTCAGGTATCGTATCGGTGTGCAGACGATTCGCAATGATCATTCATGGTTCCATCTTTACCGTCGACGAGCCACGGGTAGTGGATACTGGGATTTCTATACGAATATCCCTGAACGGAACTGCATAGGGTTCGTTTTTGTAGCCAGAAATACCTTCTAAACCTTTTAATTAACCTAGCTGTTCCCCAGCAAAAATATTCTAAATGCCATGAGTCAGATTTCTAGGCAGATTTTTGAAATCTTCTGTATGACCTTAACAATAATATCACAACTTCCGCTTTGAATTGATATTTTATTTATGTCATTTTGAAATTTTTTACATTACTTCAACCGTCCTTTACAGGGGTTTCGGGCTCCACGCTGGAAAGAACATGGCGGCCACGGTAACGGTGAAGGACCACAACTGCTTCTCAAAGCTGGCCGACCAGGTAGGTGGTCTTCATCTCAGCTAACAGGAAGTTGCTAGAATCGCAGTAGCTTTTGCAATGAATGGACATCATTCAGTGGATCATCCACTATCAGGTGGACGGGGGATGGAGGCAGGGTGAGAGTCGTATATTTGGAATTGGCCAGACGCCACGGCTAACCCTGCTCACGACCTCTCTCCTTGGTGGCTCATGATGTCTCACAATTACCCATTGCTTTCTGGCAGGGTCAACCGTCCGTTGGACAAAGTCCAACGAGGGGGTCGTATTCGCAAGGTCGGAGGCAGCGTCAATCCTACACCAACGGGGGTCGTAGTGTGACGCTTTACGCTTTGTGAGTGCTAAGAAAAAAATTGCCGTTTCACTGTTGATATATACCCCGCTCGACGGCTATTTTGGAGGAAATGTGGGTGGAGTTGGGCTGTGTCAACTGGTCTCAGAATCAAATACTATAGTAACAGCTGGGGGGGGGTCGTATCGAGGCCCTCCAGAAGGGGAGGGGTCGTAAAAATTTTGAAATTTGTCCAACGTGACGGTTGACCCTGCTTTCTGGTACAAAGGTCCCCCACTCATCACCTCACCATATGGCGCGAATAAGACCTTCCCAAACTCCGTTGTGAGGACCGCTTATCATACACGAATTTTGAGATCAGCACTTTGAAACTGTAAACTTGTGTTGGCTTCCTGTCAAGTCTCGTTCTGCTTAACATTGTCCTGTGTTTATTGCGGGTTTGATATCAA